TCTTGTAAGTTCACTTCATGCTGCTGTATTGGCTTTGATTTACACAGTTCATTTCAGCCACAATAGGGGGGGATGAAGTTGGGCATCCTCAAGGAAGAAAAAAATCCCCTTCCTAACAAAGATATCAGAAAACCACAACAAGAAATTCACCTACATAGTAAGAAATGTGTTAATTTGTTCACATTCGCTAACAATATCAATCCTTTGTTTGTACTTATCCACTATTACTAGATTTCTGAATTTATTTTTATGAAGTAACAGGTCTGGATGAGTAAGATAACACATGAAAAATCTACTGGTTCCAAGGTGACAGTAATTAATTTGGTATGGTGTACTTACAGACCTAATGATAGTCTTAATAAATTATCACTAAAAGGGTAGGAAAAAACCCCAAACTTCAATGAAGAACTAAATATATCCATCTGTCAACCAAAAAATATGTAATCTTTGCTGACCATCAAATTAATTCTACTCTGAGCCCCATGCAAAGGAGTTTACCATAAAAAGAGGCAGGAGTCATTGGCTCATCTAAAGTTTGCAGATGCATCAAAAGACAGACGTGGGTTTGTAAGTACTCCCAGAGGACACACTCCCAATTTTTGTGGGTGGAATGCAGGGCATGTCACAGGCAGAATCCTACCTCATGCTGATAGAAAGCCAGAATAGGCCTGTTGAGTGGGAAGCAGATGGATCCTGTTGACAGAATTGCCACTGCTGGTTTCATCACATTCAGTGTGGCTCCAAAAGGATACACAAAAGTGAGAGCACTGGAGGAAATACAGAAACTCCTTAAGTACCTGCACGTATAAGGCAGGCTGGACATATGTATAAAACTCAAAGTGCAAACTGCAATTGTGCACTGGTGGTGGAAAGCCAAAGTCTTGCTTCCAACATGCAGATCCTTGTAACCACATTTCAGTCTCTCTCTATAGATTTCTCCAGGTTAAAGAATTGTCTTAAATAAGGAACAAAGAACCCTCTTGATTTCTGTTTGCACGCTCCTGCACCTGAGAGAAGCGGAGGGGTATCTAACTCACAGATTGATATATATTTTGGAACAAAACTAGATAAAATGTTTTTACACTTCCACTTTCCCTTGTAATCAACCACATGGTCATTTCTTAGTCTAAAAACTAGCCACAAGGAAGAATACAAACATTTACAGTTATTTATGGAAAAGCTGTGTTCTTCTCAATGTCTTTTCACTTCTTTATCTTACCCTGGATTAAGATTCTTTAAAAAGATGAAGCCTTGCTATGCCTGCAGCCAGACCACCTGCTATCTACAGGTTATTCATGTTTACATTTCTTAATCAAATTCAAACTCACAGACTAGGGGCAAAAAAGATTGGATCATGAGAGAATTTCTGTCCAAAACTGTCACTCCTGCTCCTTCAGTGGTTATCAAGCAGTACTAAACAGATTCTCCTTTCCAGATATAACCTAAGAAGCTGGCATAAGAAATGCATTAGAGAACCTCAACACAAGCACAACAAACTGCTGCTGATCACGAACCTGCTAATTCTGAGTTATTCTGCATATTTTCACATCAGTTTCCTCACAGAAAAACACCTACTGTGAGTCATGCCCGCTTCCATCTTCATCTGTTGTCTCAAGCACTGTTTTTCTTGCAGCTTCACAGATTCCCCTGCAAGATGTTGAAAAGCAAAACTTACTGAAAAGAATACAGATTACAAGAGTTTACTGTAAAGATTTATATACTCCAAATATTTACCTGTTCAAAACTCCATCAGAAATTAGTGCTTCTTTTGGGTGGTGGTACTTATAATATACATTTCGTACTACAGCATCTTGAAGAAAGAAAAAACATAGAAATTTACATCTGAGCTGATGAGTATACTAGACATAGCAGAAAAATTAGTTTAGCTCTTGGATTCCCTGGGTGTTTGCTTCCAGCACCACAAAGCTGGCATTTGGTTCCCAAAAGAATTCAAATCAGCCTTCACTGATAAATAGTATGAGAAAATAAGCCCATCTCCACCTTCTGCAAAGCAGAAGAGGCAAAAGGATGATCCAGTTAAAACAGCATTTAACAAGTTTTACAACTTCAAATTCTATTTTTTTTTAGTGTATCTTCCAAACCAGGATGAATTAAATCCTGTTGATACAAAAAAAGGTATCGTTTAGAAAAGCCACCAAAGACCCTAAAAATATTTTAGATACACTGAGATACAGTTGACTTAGGTTGGTTGTTGTTTTTTTTTTCCACACTGAATGACATTTTATTGGTCTGCTAAAGAAAAGTGCCACTCTTTGTTCAGGGTGAGGATGAAGTGACTCAATTCATTAAAATGTGTGGAAAATGTCTTAAATGAAAGGCTTTTTAATCAAGAAACATCACTAGAATTAATTTTTGTTAGTAAATACCATTAACGCTAACAACTACAGCAAAGGAATGGAAATGGCTCAGTTGTTATCCATGTACTCCGCCCATGGAAAGCTCTTGCTATGCTCCAGTATCACCCTGCCAGGTACATGTAAATTTAAAGAAAAAACATCTTTTAGACCAAGGGATACTTTGTATGAGGGATTTTCTTGGCTTGTATCTACAAAGTCTAAACATCTTCTTTAGATTTTGCTGAAAACAGATGAATAAAAGCTCTCAGTAAGCCCCATTACCATTATTGAATATGATCCCATATTCTTCTAACAAGAAGTTAATATTTGTGCCATTACGGGACTCTCCACCTTCCCTGAGCATCACCAGGATGGCTCCACCATCCTCCAGGAATTTCTTCAGAACGGAAAACTAGAAGACAACAAAGATCCAGGAAAAAAAAAAAAACAAACACATGAAAGAAGATACACACAAGACTGCAAGAAGTTATAGTGAGACGAGGGAAGGTAAAGGATTCTGACTGTTTGCAATTAACTTGATCCTGTGAGAAAAATATTCAAATTTCAACTTGTGTAAATTCATCTAAAGCAGTACAACTGCAGTCTTCTGTGTTGTTCTTTTCTATTTAAGCAAATCTTAAACCAAAATTAATTTGAAAACAGTTATTGATGTCCTACCTCATCAGCACTGAACTTCTCTCTTGGCCCTGCTGTAATCCACAGTTTTACTCCAAACAGTTTCTCCGATGTGATCTCATCTTTTAAGCTATGAATAGATTAATAAAGGCACATGCTATTCTTGGATACAGTTTGGAAACACAACTTTTTTCTTTTGTTTCTTAAAGGACTGGCAAACAAACACAAAGCAAATCACGTCAGTCACTTCATATCCTTTCATCTGGGTTTAAAGTTGACAGCATGAGCAAAAACAATCCTTACAATTGTCAACCAACTAAACAGTAAAGCTCCTCTAACAAGGTACTGTGGCAGATCCAGAACTGCTATAAACTGTCGCAGCTGCTATTAAACTTTGCACCTGAGGAGCTTCCTCTTGTTCTTTTCATTCTTTTTCTTCTTTTTGCTCTGGGTACATTTCATACAATCACAGAATATCCCAAGCAGGAAGGGACCCACAGGGATCATCAAGTCCAGCTCCTGGCCCCGCACAGGACACCCCAACAATCCCACTATGTTCCTGAGAGTGTTGTCCAAACACTCCTTGAGCTCTGGCAGCCTTGGGGCCGTGACCACTGTTTAGGGGATCCTGTTCAGGGCCCAACCACCCTATGGGGGAAGAACCTTTTCCTGATATCCAGCCTAACCCCCTCCTAAACACCATTTTGTAGTGAACAAGTAAACAATATCATCTGCATAAAGGCTGTTTTCTTTTACCCCCCAAACTCCAAACCCAGACAGACTCAAAAACCTGTATGACGAGTTTCAACCTTTTAACTTACACTCTATCTCTTCCACAGGCAAGGCAGCTGGAAGCTCCAAAGAACCGCGTTCAGCATCCCACAGCGACAGAACAGCTGATACCACAGAGCAGTTAATGCAAGAGAGCGACCCTAGCTCATGAGATACATCCCATGAAGGATGGGATTGGCCAGGGCTCTGAACAACCTGGTCCAGTGGAAGGTGTCCCTGTCCATGGCAAGGGGTCGGAACAAGATGATCTTCAAGGTCCCTTCCAACCCATACCATTCTACGATTCTACGGTCCCCAAAGACTATTCGGGCACTCAACGCGGACCACACACACCCGTGGAGGTCTGTCTGTCCCCTCATAGCCGCCCCTTACCTCAGCACCTTCCAGTTCCCGCGCAGCCTCTTCCGCAAGGCCTTGTAGCCGCCGGCCGGCGTGAAGCTCTCCCCCTTGGACGCGTTGAACACTATGGCATTGCGCGGGCCGCTCTCCATAGGCTCCCCGGGGGCTACCGAAGGGCTCCAGCTCCGGGGGGAGCGGGGAACCCTCAGCACCCGGCGTTCTCCGAGGTGTCCCGCCGTGCCCCCAGCGGGACGCGGCGGCACCACCCGCGCTCCTCCCCTAGCAACGCGCCCGGCGGACGCATGCGCGCATCTCTCCGCCCCCTTCCGCGCGAGTGCAAAGGTCGCCTCAAGGCTTCCCTCTTTTCCCCGCCTGGGAAAGGGGGTGGACGGGACCACTGCGGTGGGGAGCTGCCTGTCCGCTCTCCTTCTGCCCGAGCCCTCCGCACCGGCCCTGTCAGCGCCCAGGGCAGGCCCGTGACCCCACAGGAAACTGCCACCCTTCAGCCACCGCAGCTTTCTGGGCCTTGGACACCAGTAAAATCAAAATCCCGGTCCTGACGCCTGCAGGCTCTTCTCTGTAAGGGTGGTGAGGCCCTAGCACAGGTTACCCAGAGAAGCTGTGGCTGCCCCATCCCTGGGAGTGTTCAAGGCCAGGCTGGACAGGGCTTAGAGCAACCTGGTCTAGAGGGGCTTGAAGGCTCCTTCCAACCCACACCGTCATGTGATTCTATGATTAACCTATTTCTTCCTCTTTGAACTTAAAACCAGCAGTTTTAGTGACTTTATGCGTGCAGGTAAGTGCTCTCACACACAGCATAGACCAACCACCCTCCCACCCTGCTCCCTCCCCCCTCACACCTCCAGGACAGCCACATGGACGCACATCAGTGTTTGCACTTTAATATAAACCGTGTCATATTCCCAATGACTTCAGCATACATAAGATAAAGTCCAATTAAAAAAAAAAATGTTCCAACACAAGCTTCCCCATAGCATGAGCACCACGCAACTTGCAGAAAGTCCCTTGTTTATCCCTGGGTTACAGTGGAAGCTCTAAGATCCCCCTCTTTTCCCCACAGCAACAAAATAAAACAGTTTTAAAAAGAAAAAGTGGGAAGCGACATTCAATGAATACACCAGCATTTAAATTAAGGCAGAATAAATAACTGTTCTACATCAGTGATGGGTGTTTTCAGATGAGTACTGGAGCCTGGAGCAGCAGTGCTAGCCACCCTTTGCTGTGCATATCCTGTACTCCGCGTGCTCCTCACAGTTGTGTTGGTGTGTCATGGGCAAGTCAAGCACATGCTGTGAAAGACACCCCCCACCCCAAGCAGGGTTTAGCCATAGAGTTATTTTTCCAAGCAATTCAGCCTCTTCCCCACCCCTTTGATCTGGGATATTCCTCCCACACATTGGCTCCTCCATAACAACCTCCTTAGTGCTTCAGCAGCATCCTAATTCACCTAGAGAGATGATCCACTCACCTTGGGGAGAGACTGGCTGGCATCAAAGGCCCCAGTGCAGTTCAGGATTCACAGACCTGCAGCTGCCTTTGGAGCAACAATTGGTGAACAGTTTTCCCTCAGCCCAGCTCAGCCCAGGATGAGTGGCTTAAGTGACACAGTCAGTCTACTTAAAGGAAGGAAGCCAATATTCATGGTTGTGTGAAGAATTCCCTTCTCAATTGAGTAGGTGGGGAAAGCAGTTGGACAGAGCTGGGCACAGCTCCCCAACAAAAACAAAAAAGAAAAACAAAGGGGAAAAAGGTGGCCAGTTACAGGGACATGGCTGTTGATGTGAATGATGGCACATACCTCAACCATAAATACAACCACAGGGTGAATACAATTCTGCCAAGTAGTACAAGACACTCAGGGGGAAAGCCATAATCAGTGTCCCACTTTCTCTGCCAGGGAAACAGTCCTGGCAGGGAAATATTTGGGGGAAATCCACCAAACAGCAAAAGTTGAGCTCTGTTCCATCCCAGTTAGTGTGTTAGTCCCAATTTCCTTAAGCCATGAGCAAAGGACAAAATCCTCTCAAAAAACCAACAGAAAACAAACAAACAAACAAACAAAAAACCCAAAAACCCAGTCAAAACAAACAAAAAAAAAACCATAAAACCTATTCATTTAAAATCTGGCTTCTCAAAGCCTTTGTAAAACTTAGATGTCCTCTTCAGTTGGTGCATAAGAAAATCCTAAAAATGCATCTGAGGCACTGGAGCTGCTGGCTGCTAGGTCAGGTGTGTGGGTGATGGAGGCAGAGATTGCTTCTTGGGTGAACTCTGGATCAAAGTGTCGCAGATCAGCTGGACCAGCCTAAGCCAAGGAGCAGAGACACACTGTCATTTTGAGTGAACAGAACCCAGCCCCTTGTGTTCAGACAGTCCAACACAGCTGCTCTTCCAGAAGAAGAACAGCACTGCATTTACAGTTCCTAGTCCACACCTCAGAACCCTCAGTGTCAGCATAAGGCATCTACAGAGGGTCCCTTTTGTACTCCTATATATAAAAAAACAGAAACACCCACTTACCACATTGGGGTTGAATGGAGGGGTAATCCTCTTGTGGTACAAATCATCCCAGTTTATTGGGCTGAAGAATACATGGTTCTTTATCTCAAGCTGCATAGAAAGCAGGGGGAAATGTTAGACTTCTGCCAACCCTCCTTTTCCAGCACCTGCCAGCTGGTCTCACAGCATTAAAGAGTGGAAGCAAGACTTGGAGCTACCACATACCCATGCCCACAAATCCTTAATACATGAGGGTCACAGTCCAGTAATCCCTTGAAGGGAAATGACCCATCACACATTGGCATCCCTAGCTTGCCACCACACCTTTCCCTCTGGAAATCCAAGACAACCTCATATGCCCCTTTTAGGAGGCTGGAGGGACACACTGAGTGGAAAGCTTTATCCAAGGCAGTGGCATTATCATAAAAGAAAGGCTCAGAATAGAAAGCTTTCCCATCTATTCTCCCTCCTGATCATAGTGGAGGCCACCTACAAAGTCTGTTTTGGCACCCAGCCTCCTCTTCTGCTCCTTGTGGAGGAGTCCCTGGAGGATGTCACAAGCTGCTACCGTCTTGGTTCCTTGGATCTGGAGTGGCTTGTGCAGAATGTTGTCATACATCTGAGACACATCCCGGCTGTAAAAAGGAGGCTGATTTGAAAGAGAGGAGAAGCAGCCGGGTAAAACATGAGCTACCATAAGGAACCAATAATTGCAGATCAAAAATGACACCTGCTGTGAGTAGACGAGGGAGACCTGACACATCTCTGCTCAAAAGTACAATGGTATGATTAAACCAGGTCATCTAATTCAGGATTTAGTCATCTATCAGGTACCATGTGAACACCAGACCAACCTCACACCACAGCTTTTGAAAATAAGTTCTCTACCATGGAAAGTAAAAGAGACCATTTCTAAACTTACCAGTCCGAACAGCATTTCATAGAGGACAGCTCCTAGACACCACCAGTCTACTGTCCTGTCATAGGGCTGCTTCTTTAGCACCTCAGGAGCCAGGTACTGGGAAGTCAGAAGCAAACATTAGAGTCAAGCTATAAAGAAGGGCTTTGCCCTTGTAAGTCACAAATCTGGCTGCAGCTCAAGCTGAGCAAATGCATTAGGAAGCACACAGGTGCAGCCCCCAGTGTTCTTCCAGGCTACTGAAGGTTTTCTTGCTATAGAGGACTTGTACAAGGATTTGCCACCCATCACAATTCAACCAGCAAACCTGTCCCGCACTGACACATCACATCCCTAAGAGGCTCATGTGGTTTTGAAAAAGCTGCTGTTTTCAGTCCCAACAAGACTGTCCAAAACAGCAAAACTACCAATAACCACCACCAAGGGGCAACAGGCAAGAATTTGAGCAGTCTGCAGAATAAACAGCCTCCCACAGAATTATCTCTATGTACTATCAGGTTCTGTCTAGAACAGGAAGACACCAACACACATGAAAACTAGAAAACAAAGCTCAAACATTCCTGCTTGGTTCATGCTGTGCTATTGCATAAGAGGCAATTTCCTGCCCACTTCTGCTGAGCTTGAAAACTGGAAGGTGTGCTGTTCGCAAACCCTCCTTCAAGTTGTCTAGGAAGAGCAGCAGGACAGGTGTATTACCTAGGCTGAAGTGCTACCAAAATCCTCAGCTCAGTAAGAAGAAGGAAAAAAGCCTCCAAGAAGCCAAACTGGAAACAGGTTTTCACAAAACCTGATTGGGGGACATTGGAGAAAAGACATTTTTTCCCTTCTGAGCAATGTTCACATTCCAGAGAGGAGTCTGGTCCTCTCCTCTGCACAGGGCATTTTGCAACTCATGCATAGCAAGTACACATAGGAGAGCACAGCAAGGTCGGGTGCATGTCAGCAGCAGCAGGCTCCCTGTTTTGCAGCTCCAGGGTATTGGAGCAGGTAAACAGCCTGCTCACAGGCTCCCAGGGTCAAGGTTGCCTCCACAGATACCCGAAACAGCTGCAGTTTCACAAGTCTGGCCATTTCCGAGTGCAGGGATCCCTGCCCTTGATAGCACAGCAATGTCAGAGTTTAGCTGTTACAGATAAAACCATCTCTGATGAGTAGGGAAGGCCTTACTTGAACTCCAGTTTCAGGTCAACAACCTCAAAGAGCCCAAGGCGGTCTAATTTAGAGTCCATATTTTGAGATGCTACATAAGCCCAAGACTCAGAGCAGCAAGTCACAGCAAAGCCCCAGCATATGCTCTACCTCAGGAGTGCCACAAAAAGTAGAAGTTGTCTCCTCTTGCTCCATTCCTTCTTTGCACAGTCCGAAGTCTGTCAATACTATGTGTCCCTAAAGAAGAGAGAAGTTTCAGCCTGGCTCACTCTTCCTAGAGAGGAGACAGGGTTTCCAAGTATTTGCCTTCACATTGCATCTCACGGGGTTTTTAGTTCCCCACTGCTCATCTCTCTCCGCTCCCTCCCCTATGGACATCCTATAGCACAAGTACAGGAGCCTATAGAAAAAGTACAGTCTGGATTTTTTTTTTGTTTTATTTGTCTACAACTGGATAACTATGAAGAGATCCAGCACTTCTGTACTTTGCTGCTGCTTTATCCCAGAGATTGTTTAATAGTGCTCACCACCAGAGTAGCAGCAGGGACCTGTTCTTCACGTCCCTGATCCCTGCCCAGAAGTCAGGTCCCAGCTTTTGGGAATGAGCCCAGCCCCACAGTGTGTGCAGTTCTGCAGAGGGCAGGGTCAATCCCCCTTGCAGGATCTGCACAGAAGTGCAGTGGGGCAGACATACAAAATCCATGCCATGATGTGAGTTATAGCCCAGCTTGCAGAACCACAGCCCTCTGTTTATAGTCCTGATGCTTTTAAAGACAGAACAAAAGTAGCCCAAGCTGTGAATATACCTGGCAATCCAGGAGAATGTTCTCAGGTTTTAAGTCTCTGCAAGACAAAAGGTGCTGTTTGAGCAGATTTGGCCAGATACTTAGAAAACATGAATCTGAAACAGCATCAGCTAAGAACAGGAGCTAACAAAGCTTCCCAGTCCAGACCTTCTTGAAGTGCATCAACATACACACATGTTGATTCCCATCAACATACACACATGCAAACGTTGAAAGGCTGCTGTCATACAGGATCAGGTGTTAGCCTGCATTTCTGTGCATAAATTGTTATGGAGCAATGATTTCTCTCTTATTGAGCCAGGGGTTTTTATATTTTTACACTTAAACACTCTTTCTCCTTCCCACTATCAGTCTGAGAGTATTTATTGCCCACCAGGTCCTGTGCAGACAGGATCTCTCTTGAAAGTGTAAGTGCCAGCAGCACTTAGTCAGTCTTGTCTGGGGTAGGAAATTCTTCAGCTGTTTCAGTCCTGAATATATTGCAGGGCCCCAGTGAAGCCCTTTCCCCAACACTGACGCAACCTTGCTGGGCACACTTGGTGGCCCTGCCCTCCCCAGCAGGACACGTGTCTTACCTGTAAATGATGTTTAAGGAATGCAAGTACCCAATTGCACTGGCAACTTCTGCAGCATAGAACCGGGCCCGGGGTTCACGGAAACAGCGCTCCCTTTGCAAGTGGAAGAAGAGCTACAGCCAGATGAGAGGGTTGGTCATTTTTCTAAATAACTGAAGGCTATCTGGAGCAAGGCTGAAAGCCAGCTACCCAAGTGAAAACGTCTTTGCAGCAAGTAGCACACAAATAACACCAAATGAGCCCAAACCAAGCCCCTTTAAGCAGCCCAAACACCTTCCTATAAATTGCTCCCTTTGTTCTACTCTTCATTCCCCAAAATAAATAATTAATTCTCTGAAAAACATCTTCTGCTGATCTAGTTAAGCTCCTAGCTTAGTACAGCTCACGTACTACTGGTAGCCTAGCCACAAGAAGTGATACATGCCTAGATCTGAACACAAGATCCCCAACATAAACTCTATTTGGGCAATAAATCCATGTTACCAATATCTCCCAGCCAGTTTCAGATAGTACAGAAAGACAGCTGGAAGAAAGTGAGCTTCTACAGCACAGAAAAATTCTATAAAAGTGTGCTGACATCACCCAAGCACACTTGGGTGACAGATCCAGAGCTGGCCCACAGGTGGGTTTTGCCTACAGCTCACTAGCATCAGTATTTCCTGTATTCTCCATAGGATTTTAAAACACCCCTAACACATACTTTTCTCAGCATCCTTGCTTTAGGAATCATCTGGCTCAGGTCCTAGTCAGCAAGATCTTCACTCAGTTTACAGATGAGGTAATGCCAGGTGTTCCTGGCTGCTCCTTTCTGGCGGTCAAAGCAGCATTATACCTTAACATGATTTTCTTCTGACAAGAAACAGTTTTAGGCAATAAAGCAGCGTGTTTAAGAAGGACCAAAAAGGAAGCCTCTAAGTGCACTCACCTCTCCTCCATTTACATAGTCAAGTACAAAGTAAAGCTTCTCCGAGGTCTGGAAGGAGTAATGGAGTCCCACAAGGAAGGGGTGCTTGACATTTTTCAGCAACACATTGCGTTCCGCCATGATGTGATTTTGCTATCAAGAAGCAGACAAGGCATTAGGGTTTCAGGCAAGGGTCCAGCCCAGCCTGTCATAGGGGCTCACTGCTGTTTTCAAAATGGGTGGAGGTTGCGAGCCAAAGAGAGTCATTTCTAGCCCCAGAAAGGGAATCACTCCCTGCTATCTGACCCATTTAATCTCTGTTCTTCATGTTCCCATAGCACAGAGAAATCCATGTCTAACATGCAAATTGCCTACATAAATGACAGCCACCAGGTACCCCAATTGCATTACCAGGGTAGCTCATACACTGACCACTATTTGCAGAAATAGCCAAGGAAAGCAAACGTACCTCCTTTTTCTTGAGGATGGTTTTCTTATGCAAGACTTTCACTGCATAAAAAGTCCCATCACACTTGCGTTTGGCCAGGAGAACCTGCAACACAAGGTCCTGGTTATGGGTTTCAGCCTCACCTTCTGCCTTTTGGTTAGTGTTTCCTCATTAGCTCAATAGTCTTGTGCATCATTATACTACTCCAGAGGGTCAGGTACAAAGTTTTAAAGACAGTTCCAGACCTGTGAATTCTCATCACTTTCTCATTGCCAGAAAAAAAGCATGCAACAACTCCACATACATCACTTAGACACTCAAAAGAAAACAGTTTGGAGCATTTGGGGAGACAGTTCCATTTAAAGGGGATCCAGGCTGTCTCCCAGGTTCAGGTTTGTCTGGAGTTCTTTTGCTGCCTGAAGAAGTCTGAAGCTCATTTTGAATCAAGCACTGCTCCTTATCATCAGCACCCTGAGCATAAAGCACCTCACACTTCAGTCCTTAAAGAGATGGCAGAACAGCTCCAGAGTAAGAATAGACTATGAAAACCCTATCTCAGGGCTTACCTAATCTCAGCCATACTCAGGCTAAACACCTCATGAGACATGCAAAGGACACAGCTAGAAACTCTTTTAGCAAGATATTTGCTTTCCACGCTACAGCCCACCTGTAAAAACCCACTTACTTTTCCAAAGCTTCCTTTGCCAATAACCTTCAGAAAGTCAAAGTCTGTTGGCTTGGCACTGTTAGACAAGAATGAAATAAGTTAATGTTTCTGGGAGAGAAACAGGCAACAGCAACACTACCAGCAAAGCAGAGTTCCTGCTTGGAAAGATGAGTGTGAAAGGGATTAAAGGGCACTGGATGGGTGACCCTTGCTCCCAGCCACCTCGGGATTCACACTGTGTATGTCAGTGGACCCAGCACAGCATGAGCAATCCCTCAGCAACCCACATGCTGAACACAGCAGCAGGTGAAAGCACCTGTCAAGAACAAGTGACACCTTTAGAGGGGACACTTTTTCTAGAGAAAGATAGTCAGGGAGCCAGCAGTTACAAAGAAGATCTTCCCTCACTGTCTCTCAAGAGAGATGGGACAAAGGGCTGCAGATATGGACAGGAGAGGATGATTATGATAACAAGGACCAGCTACAGCTTAATGTCTTGAAAGCTGGTGCACTGGTAACACACATGGTGTTAAAGGCCAAGTAATGTAGTCGTTAGGACTTTTGCAGGCACCACACACGTGAGAAACAGAGACCATCTGCATTCCCCTGCCAGACCTCTTCACACTCCACACCCTACCTGGCTTTGCAGGGAGCTTACTTGGGGTTAGCAGAAGGTCCAAGGTTGATGTTGTCAGTTGGTGTTGAAGGCTAGAGAAGACAACAATAATGTTAGTCACAAGGACCGTGCTGCAGGCTGTGCTTTCCCTTCCTCAATACAGCATCCCCTCACACTGAGCAGTTGATAAACACCCATCAGCAAGAGACACAGTGCTCGTTTTGGCAAACTTTTAACTAAGGCCACTTTAGGTGGCCTTATACACATCCAGCTCCGTGGAACTACCTCCTCCCTCTTCCCAATGACAAGGAGTACAGACACACATGCTCTTCCTCCTCCCCAGGAATCTTCCCCTCCCCAGACTCTGGGAGCATTATGTCTTGTCCAAAAGGCTCTTCTTTTGTCTTTTGACTTTTCTCTTGTCCTCTCTGCTCTTCTTTTTTTCCACCCAGCATCACCCACAAGGACAGAGCAGCAGTAAGACTTCCAGCAGGCTAACACAGGCTCTCCTGCTTGTTTCTCATCTAAAGACACCAGCCCCTTTTGTCCCAGAAGTGAGGATTTGCTGGTTCAGAGCCCTGATCTCACCTGGGTGCTTTTGTCTGGGCTCCGGGAACGATCCATTAAAAAAGCAACTCGTTCAGCACTTGGAAAAAGAAGAGCAAGCTAGTGTTCAAAACAAAATCCAAGAGAGAAACATCTTCACATCATTAACTTGCCAGGGAGCAGCACAGACCCTGGTATGTGTACCTCTCCATCATAGGAGGGCTCAGCTGAGTTCCCCAGCTACTCCCTTGGTAGCACTGCTACCCCCCAAGGGATGGGGGTGTACACACTCCAGGGGAGGCAGTGAACACTGGGGGGCAGATTAGGGAAAAAAGGTTCATGGATGCACAAGCATATAAATACCACGGTTAGCCCTTGACTTGAAATAGCAGAAACCGGTCAGAACACCAACATGTGAGGACCAGCACAGCCCAGCAGGGCCAGCTGAAGTCACAGCCCTCCTAGCCGTGGCCAGACCCCTCTTGAGGCAGGTGCAGCCCCCACCCCACTGCACAGTGATGCTGCAGCACCCAGTCCTGCAACCCAGTGAGTGCCCCCACAGGGCAGCCAGGAGAGTCCAGCTGGGTCCAACCACCACATGCCATCAGGATGGCACCTGTCAGAGGCCATTCCCCCTAGGCCAGGTCAGACAGGGCAGCTCGGGGCTATTGACTCTGCAGGGAAGAGGAGCTCAACATGGCAGCCAGGGCTGGCTCAGTGAGCACAGGACTTATCTACCTAGTGCAACTACTGCTGGGGTTGGAAAACCTGGACTCAAACACTTGGTGGTTCAGATCTGCCCTGATCAGGCATCACTGGGGATGGGTGAGTCCCCCCACCCTAGGGATTCCCCCCCTTTGGTTTAGAGGATTCCCCCATACTCCTTTCGAAAGCCAGAATTAAGGAGATAACAAACAAAACAAGCAGCTCTGTTCCCTTCTCCCCTGCCCCAGAGAGCTGACTCCCACTCAGCCCCACCAAGCCCTCATACACTGCAGGGAAGCTCTGAAGGCTCTCATCCCCACAGCCACCCACTGTCCTACCACTCCCAAAGAGGGGGCCCAAAGAACCCACCAGCCTCCTCACATCTCACCTGTGGGCGTTCCCTCTCTGTGCCCCCACATACCAGCAGGCACAGACCGCCAATCATCCCCAAGGCCCCCTCCTGCGCAGCCAGGCTACCCATGGCAGGAGATGCCAGGCAGCAGTGGATGCTGGCGGCTGTCCCTGAGCACTGCCCATATCTGCACGGTGCCAGCCAGCTCCATTCACCACTCAGCCAGCGCAGGGGTTATCGGGCTGAGCTGTTAAAGGGCTCTCATCCCACTGAGAGCATTTTATACTCACTACACGCAGAGCCTGGAGCCGGAGGCCTTGATGGTTTGCCCTATCCTCTCCCGGCCGTGCTTGATGAGTTCTGTGAGGAAAGTTGGAGCACCGAAGCCGATTAGCTGGCAGTGTGATCACAAGTGCACAGAGGCACATTTGTTCTTCACTGACCTTGCTCTTCTCTCCACAGCCGCCCTCCTCCCCCTTCCACTCACATACCAAAATAACCAGGAAATTATAGGAACCAGGACATCTTCCCTCCCGGCCCCACCAGGAGCCCTCAATAGCTCACAGGACAGGGATAAGTGCCACAAAATAGACACCGCCTCCCACAGCACAGGGGACTCAGGCTAGAGCACCACTGTCAAGCCCTCCTGAGCCACTCCTGGGTCCCCGGGGCGGGGGGAACAAGGAGAGTTCCCACAAGAACGATGTTGTACTGGGATACGTCACATACTTGGCACATCCACTGTCCCTTTCATTCAGGACTCTACAAGTAATTAGGGACATGAATGAAACCTTTCAGAGCCCTGCAGGAGGTAAGCCAGCACACACACATCACAGTGAGTGACCTGCCCAAGGACACGTAGCCAGTGCCAGAAGCAGGGATTCCCACCACGGAGCATCCCTGCTCCTCAGCCGTGTGGGTGGTTGCCACCACTCATTATCTTCATCACCTCTCCCTTCACAGAGAGGCAGTCCCAAGCCTGCTCCCTGCTGCACAGGCTGAGCCAGAGAGAAGCCCAACAAGTGCAACCTGTACAGAGGATTTCCTTGTTTTGCTTAGTTCTGTCACTGGAGGGAAAGGAAGACTCAAAATATTCACAGAAACATACACTACCCTGTCCCTCTAAAAAGAAGGGGGTTTATAGACTCAGGTAAGTTGTCATCTTGGAATAGCTCCTCAACAGACCGAGGAATCAGCAGCATCAACCACAGAGACTCTTCCCCTGGGCAAAGAGTTTGTAGGACAAGTTTTGAGGCAAACACAAGCCCATTGCAGAACCCTTCCTGCATGGATCATTGGGTCTGCTAGGCAGAGGGACCTGTGTGCTACCGAGAGCCACTGAACTGACCCCAAAAGCAGGTCTGGGATCTGGGTGCAGCTCTGATAAGGAGCCAAGAAACTAAGCTGTGGGTTTAGAGTTTCCAAATGGATAAGAAAGGAAAAGCAGGAACTTAAAGCAAAACCCACAAATCATGCAGTGAGAGAGTTTACAACACCAGGCTGGTCTGAGCCCCTGACCTTGTCTGTACTTTGTCCTGCAGCAGATACAAGAGCCTGTCTCAGCTGGCATCCACAAGCAGGGACAAGATGCAGGCAGCACCCAGACAGATCAAGGCCCATTTCCTCCCACTGGGCATAGTCCTTCTTTCCCTGACAGTCTGACTCTCCTCCGACTTACCGAGGTCTGCTGAAGGTCATCAAACACCTGCCTCAGGGTGCATCTCTCCCAGAGTCTGCGAGCCAGCCTGGTCAGATATCATGGCCACAGCAGAGGGACATCAGCACTGCTGTGTTTGGAGCAGGCAACACTCACTCAAGGCTCAGGACCAGGGAGAAGGTTGGCACAGAGAATGGCCGGGGTACACAGATGTGTGTGGACAAGCCTCAAGCTGCACTGGCAGCAATAGGTAGAGGAGTGAAGGCTCCCATCGCCTGCTCAGGAGCCTCTTACCAGAGCAACCCAACCTATAACCTCACTCCCCCTCCACGCATCGCTGCCATTCATCAGATAATACAGCCCGTTTCCTCCTAATCTGAGCCCCCACAAACTTGGGTTTGGATCCAGGGTCAGCTTGCTGCCACTGTTCCTACCCTAGACTCCAGGGAAAATACTGACTCAGACACAGATGGAGATGTCGCAGCTTGGGTATCTTGGAGACCACACAGCCAAGCCACAGAAAAAAAAAAAAAAAAAAAAAAATCAATCTGCCTTGGAGGTACTTATTACCAGTACAAGTTTCTGACTTGCTCCAAGGGGCTTGGACAAGCCAATTCTATCAAGATCTCCACAGCCTGCAAGTAGGCAAGAACCTCTTCCAGCCTGGCAGCCTGTGCATGCTTCCTTCCATCAGCCCTGTTCTGCTCCACTTCTTCTTTGCTGGAAATAAAGCCACTCAACAAGTCCCTGCTGACCAAGGGCAGCATTTTCCAACAAAGCGTGTTCATTAAATGGACTTACTCTGAGACTAGAGCCTGTGCACTGAAGTACCATGCACATTTTTAGTTTATGTATATCCCCATCCCATATCACTCTCTATTCAGAGAGTTCAGAGCCACCTTTCCCAACCGAGGTTCACCTTCAATGCCAGGTTAGTTTGTGGTCTAAATCTCTGAAGCAGTCAAGTAGGCTTTTCCTGGTCACTAGTAAACCCTACTCCCCTTAAAGCACAAAGAATTCCTGAGCGCGCACACACACTGAACAACAGAACCAGAAATAGGTCACAAAAATACACTGGAATCTTTGGTTATACATGCCTGGCTGCATCCCTCCTTGTGCCTGCTGGTGCAGCAGGAATGCTCCAGGCATAGCCAGGGCCACAGAGAGCATCAGCAAGCAAGTCCAGGAGTTCCCCCAATACGATGTGACTATTCCACACCAGGAACACAAACTCCTGCACCCCACTCTCCCCTCCTCAAAGACCCCCAACTCCTGGCCAGAGCAATCCCCCAGGCAGCAGGAACCCACTCACACAACACAGAGCTGCTACTTACAAGTTGGAGCAGTTACTGCAGCTATGTCTCCCCCCACCACACATCCCTCAGCAACATACGTTTTCTTCCCAGCACGGCACGAGCAGCTCCCTCTCCCTCGCACAGTTCTGGCAGTGGTGACCCACATTCCCATGCTAGCCCAGCATTATTTGCTACAAACACATTACTAATGCAATGCGTACCTTGTACAGAGAGGCAACCTCACAGATTCGTCATCTGTGAGCTGCCTCCCACCCTCCTCCCGGATGGCACTGCTCTCGGCAGCCTTCCCTACCTAACCCAGATTGCAAACCCCTCCAAGCAAGTCCCTCATCCCCTCTCGCTCTGGGAAGGGCTGGCTGCCAGCACGGAGAGGCAAGGAGGTGTGGCAAGCTGTCACTGGGACAGCAGGTGATGTTTTGGAGGAAGCATAGAGTTTGGAGAGTCACCTAAGGCAGGCCACAGCTTCCACCCAACACAGGGGCTGCTTGCAGCTAAAGGGGGGAGATGCCCCAGTTTCATCTCAGAGAAGGAGCACAGAAGGGCGATTCCTGCAAACACATGCTTTTACTGGGGAGAAAAAAAGGCTCAAGTTTTCCCCTGCCACAGATTTAAGAGATAGCTGCAAGCCACCATTTTACTCCACTTTCATTCCCATTGAGACACTATAGTTGTACACAGCAAGTCCAGGAGCAGGTTAGGAAAGACCTGAAAGCACTTTTCTGCACTCAAGGAAGCTCTCAGGCATCCTCTGTAAAGCTCCTGGGTTGCCCAATTTTCTCTTACAGATCCTCTTCCCTACACCCCAGGGACACTGCAAACCAGTGCAGGAACCCAGCCAAGCAGCCCTGGCTCTGGGCAAGCTAGAGCCCACTGACAAACAACTCTCCAGATTTCTGAGGAAAACTACATGCAAAATTTAAAGAAAACAGCAGGTGGCTAAAGCTTGCAGCACTTTGCAAAAAATAATCCTGTGAAAATAAAAAAAAAAGCATCAAACATACCTGGGAGCACATCTACCAGTGGAGGCCGAGTCCTGAAGCATGCAAAGCAGTTCACAACCAGTGAGTGCTGAGACCCCTCATTTCCCATACTTCCCATCTTTGTATCAGCCCACCCAGATTGCCCTGGCAGACCAGGAGCCCAAGGCTCTTTCTTAAAACCCAGATGGGAATAGGCTTTTTTCCTGCAGCAGTCCATTTAGCCCCTGAACACAGTCACCCTCAGATCCTCAGTATGGCCATACCACTACTGCTGCTTCCCAGCAGCCCTTTAAAGCAAGCAGGAAAAGCTGACCAGCTGCAAAAGATGAAGAGATACCTGCCAGCTATACCCAAGGAGTGAGAATTTAGGTGGGAGGGATAGTTTTGGATGGGGAGGGAGAGGTGCAGGTGCTGAGCAGGAGTAAATTACGTCCTGGCAGGCAGGACGTATTCTGAATAATTTTTTACGTGTTAGTAAGCTTGACATCTGTCCACTGTCCTGTAGCTTGGAGGAAGGTCAAAACTGTCATTTGACTCAGGTCAAACCCAGAAGATGCTGCTCCTTCCAGTGTCCTGTGTGGCTGCAGCCAGGGCAGCAAGGATGGTATTAACTGCAAACATAAACACCTGAGGAGGGGAAGCATGGTGATTTGAGACAGCAGAGACTAAGCAAAAGGAGATCTGGAAGAAGGGCTGTCTTCTCTCTCTTCATTAAAAATAAAGCAGTCGCTTTTTGCTTCCATTGTAGTTTCCTGTAAAATCTCCCTGTAGAAAAGTGGCCTATAGAGCGAGTTCAGTGGTGGGTGCAAGGAGGTAAAGGCAGGGGTGTGGGCAGAATTCCCTGAGGGAAGCAGAAGGGCTGGCCACCATGGGACAGATCCCTCATGCCAGACTACAGCTACTAGGAAGAAATCATCTGGAATAGGTTATGTGCTTGTTGCCATGTGTAATGAGGGAGGGGAAGCATCATGTTGCTTGAAATATTGTTCTCTCTCAGGTTGAAGCCTGATTTTTTTGCTTAGCCAACACCCTCAAGCTATCAGCATTGTCAGCTTTCAAGAGTATCTCCTAATATGTTTTTCTTTTCTCCGGTTTTGCCTCCACTTGAAGTGAAATGGTCAAGTTTGAGAATACTTTCATCAGCTAACTTACATTTTCTAGTCAGTGTCTTCTGCTTTTGTTTCTTTCATGAAAATCTTGGTGTCATCAAGAAAATCTACTTGATTTTCTTTTCCATAGAAAAAGCATCTTTAATTAAAAACTCGTTTTCTATGCAAAGAAGAGGAAGCGGAAGAATCCTCTAAGGAAAAGGTTTTACAGCTAAAATGCATAAAATGCCTAATCTGGTGACAGATACTGGCAGGCAAAGTGATGTTGGGTTGGTTTTGTCCATCCTACCTGTGCTGTTTGTGAGGGTCACTGACCCTCAAGGGCTGTGCATGCACTGGGTGTCACTCAGAGCCAGGCATGTGATGCAAAGCTGCCTCCATTGCACACAAACACCTCCTGGATTCCTTGCATGTCCCATGGGAGCTGGGCTTCACACAGTCTTTGCTGGACAGGGTGAGCCCTGGCAAAGGGCTGTGACATGAGCCCAAGTGGAGTCCACCAGGAAGATGTACAACAGGGCTGTGCCCTCTGCCAGCTGCTCCGCAGCACAACGCTAGTAGGAGACCTCCATGGGGAAGCCTTCTCCATGCCCTATCCGTCCCCAGGGCTTAGTGACACCGTACCAGCCAGAAGCATTACCCTTTGTCTTGCCCAGAGCAGTGGAGGAGGGCTCCATCCAGGCCACAAACAAGCCAGCTGGAACAGGGGCAGAAGCTCAGCTTCCAGCACAGGGTGTCCTCGGGAAGCAGAGCACGCAGATGTTTCTCCTCCTGCAAATGTGAAGGGCACAGGAGTAAGAGCAGAAACAAGCCCTGAGGTGCAGCACTGGCTGCTCACCAGCTCTGGGACACTGGGACAGCTCCCTGACACTTGTCTGGCCAGCATCCACCCGCCAGTCAGTCTGGTGGAGATCACCAAGGGTGCTCTGCCACTGCTTCAGTGGCAAATTGCTTTGGGACTGGCAGATGGAGAGCAGTGGAAGAGAGCTAGGTGGTACTGGTTGGCTGTTTGGCTTCTTTACAACAGAAGAAATTTACACTAAAACTGTTAAATTCACACATTTCTGCTCTTAGGAAAGGATTTTGGGTTTTGATGAGGAGTTAAGACCAAATTAATTCTCCCTGTACCCAGCGTGACTGCCCTGACACCGGTGGTTCCCTGTCACAGCAGAAGACATTCTCTGGAAGCACAGGGACACGGGGCCAACCAGGAAATCCCCAGTGTAGTGCAGGTCCCTACCTGGGAATTCAACATCAGATGCCACCAGATTCCCGGAGAAGCTGCAAAGGGCTTTGCCCTGCAGAGTCCTGTGACTTTCCCTGTAGTGGTGTCCTGGGCAAACATTTGTCCCCATGATGGCAGACAGGAGGGGGACAGGTAGATGTGAACAGATTCCAGCCCACCTGGGCAGCCCTCCCCGTGTCTAAGAGATGAAACTTTCCCCCTTTTCCTGCCTTGTGTGCCCACAGCCAGCCACATCCTGCAGCAGCTCTCACCCCTCACCCAACACTGCCCCTTGCCCATGTCAGTGTCATGCTGAAGGAGCTGCTGGATGTGAGAGTGTTTGCAGGTCACACACATCACACAGGCACGTGTCCCTGCAGGTGCTACTGGCATGACCATGCCCCCTTGCAGCAAGACTGGCCTTGGCCCATTCCCCTGCCCAGAACCTGCATGCTCCTAAACAAAATTAAACAATTCTAATGAAACTGGAGATCTGTTGATGTAAGAGCTGGGTTTTGTGAGTGTTGTTGGTCTTCTGTGCCAGGTTGCTCTTTCCCTGCCCTCAGAGAACATGTAGTGCCAGGAAAACCTCTGATGGACCTGAGTTCAGAGGTGAGGAGCAGCTTTCAGGCAATTTAACCCCTTCTATGCACATCTCCTGACAGGGCATGCTTCTCCAAGCCCTGTAAGGGGTCAAGAGCTGCATGGTCCTTCCCTGTCTGAGTTTGGTCCTCCCATTGGGACCATCCCTGGCTGGTGCCACTCACCCTGCCACATTTGCAGCTTCTCCAGGGCAGGACATGTCCAGTGGACAACAGGCCCAGCCCATTGTCTCTACCCACAGAGAAATACCTCCCTCTCTCTCTAACTTTTTATGTGCTATTTTACAGGGAAAGGTAATCCTAATTTCCCTATCTAGTAATATCCATAACCACAATCATAAAAGTATCACTGAAGAGGAACCACACAGTCCTGAGCAATCAGAATTGCAGGGAAGGTTCAGGTAAAACTAATATTTGTCTAGAGTGCACAAAGCAAGTTTCCATGGACCTGCAGTGAAAGGTGACCTAAAATGTTTGGCTACTCAGTTACCTCTGCTGGGTAAGGGCTAGCATAGGATAGCATGGAATGGGATAGGATAGAACAGAGATAGGATGTTCTTTAAAAGCTCAGAGCCTATTTCTTCATTTTAAGGATGATTCATTAAAGACTAAATAGACTATTGGTGACCACTGCAGGTCTTTAAACTATTTCATTCTTTTTCCTGCTCTCTATATTTTTCTTTCAGCTTCAAAAAACCCAGGCTCTGCCTCATGTTTTGCCTTTGATTTTGCTAGCAAATCCCACAAGGGTGCTGGGATGTTTCCCATGTTTTGGAGAAAGGAACCAGGAAGAGACTACTGGGGATCAGGTTTTTATTCCAAAAGACAGCTAAAGTGGGTTTGAGCAACTCTTGCAACATTCTGTCCCTCTGCTTCTACAAATATTAACACATCAGAATATTACTGATCTCTTGTAAAGCCTTTACATCTTCTGAGGAATAAATTCTGGAGTTTATTATTGCCATTAAATTAATTGGCTGGGACTTTTTTGTTCCTAAGTGCCTTTTAAGTGTAGGCACCGTCTCAGTGAATAAATTATATGCAGTTGGAAGCAACCTGACTGTAAGGTTGCTGGCCAGCCTTGTCCCTGGGGAAGGTGCAACTCCTGCTTGTTGCCCTCTCCTCTCCTCCCCAGCAGCACTTCAGGACACATTACAGCTTGTGCTTTAGAGCCTTTCTTAAAAAAAACCCCACAAACCCTCAATTCTGTTTTTTGGGGTGAGCACCTCTTTTCCTCTGCAGCACAGGTCAGTCTGATGCAGGGCACACACTCAGGGCCACCACTCATATCTCAAGCCCTGAATGTGACCAGCCTGGGGGGCCAAGGGCAGAGAGGCAGTTTTCTGGCTTGACTTAGCAGGGCTTAGCAGCTTGGAGACAGCTCGGGGAGCTGCACTGCCCAAAACCAGGCCCCTCTGACACAGCAATGGGTTCATTAGAAAAGCCTGTGGGTGCAGCATTCCTGGGAACACCCCTCTCCCCTCCTCTGCCCCAATCCCATTGCCATTCCTGGGAGTGGCCACCTCCATCTCCTCTCCATAGGACCCATTTTCACCCCTTTTTATCCACATGCAAATTCTGGGAAGCAACTGCTGGAGACTGTCTCCAGCAGAGCTATGTATACTGGATCTGGTGGACAGCCCAGTTCAAGTCAAGCTCATGAGCCCCTCTACAAGAGCAGCAAAGCTGTGCTGAAATCTGCTGAGCCTGTCTCTGTTCCCCTGCTCTGGCATCCAGCAGGAACAGCCCTCCCTGTCCTGCCAGCGGGGGGTTTGGCAATGACCTGTTAGAAGGCTGCTGGACACAGCACCCCTGAGCTTCACCAGGCCCAGCCCCAGAGACTCACACAGCCTGGGACACCACAGCCAAGACAACCTGAAATATCTGGATCAAACCTCACCCTTATAGTGCTGGTTGCAAATGCCTGTGCAGGCCCAAAGCTCCTTTCCCTGTGCAGGTGGCTCAGGGACATGGGGACACACAGTCAGTCACCAGCTACCTCTGCTGATCTGCCAGCTCTTGAAATCACCTTGGTCAGAAACACTCATGGGTGCTCCCCGTGGACCTCACCCAGGTGAGCTGATGTGGGGCTGCATGGACAAGCAGGGTGATAGAAGCTCCTTGCGATGGAAGTTTCCTGGGGGAGGCACAGTTAATGGCAGAAATCTTTTCACCTAGTACAATATTGCAGGAGGAGCAAGGAGGCTGCTTGTCTTCTCTCTGGATTTCTCCACAGCTGGGAAACCACCCCACTGCTGGAAATCAACCCTCCACCACTTCCAGCTGCTGGCCCCAAGCAGCAGCTCTCCCACAAGCCAGCCAGGTTTCCTGGCAGCAAGGGCGAAGTCCTTCACAAAAACTTCTGCTTCTCCCAAAAGAGTTCAGGAACTCATCAGAGGAAGGAAAAGTCTCAGTCATCCCAGAGAAAGCAAATGGGCATTACCTGCAGAGAGCGAGGTGTGGGGAACAGGGCTCCTGGGATCCAGCAGCAGGGCAGACGGGCACTGCCACACTCCCACTGTGGGAAGCAGCATGTACTGCTCTTCTTCCCGTTGTTTTTATTTTGGCAATTCGGCCTGAAGGTCGAAGAAAAAGTCCGAAGGAGTGGCCTGTGGCAAGCAGTAAATGATTACCCTGGACCTCTCTCAAAGGGGACTGAGGCACAGGGAGCTGGGGGAGGAGAGGAAAATCCCTCCTTGGGGGGATTAGAGGGCAGCTCGCTGGCGGGGAAGTGCAAAGGGTCAGAACAAAGTGCTCTGTTTGCTGGAGGCTGTGCCAGGTCACATGCCGGGTCCTAGCAGAGGTAATGAGACATGTATCACCTCCCAAATGCCTGCAAGACCTCCTGGATGTGGATATGATCTGTTGCCAACACACCACCAATCCATGGAACTTGCCAGCCAGGAAGGAGTGGGGTGAGGTGGAGCCTCGTCCTCCAGCAGCACTGCATCCGGGGCAGGCCATCCAGGGCCTTACGTGCTTGGGTTGTGAGGTACAACAGTCCTACAATGCTCCTTCTGCTTCTTGTGTGACCCCCCTCTGGCTCCATGCTCCCCATCCTGGGCCACATGTACACAGGAACAACCACCTGAGCAGCTGACAAGGACTGAGCTCCATGGGCACATCAGAACTGAGGCCAGAGGAGCCCTCTTGGAGCCAGAATCTACTGCCCTCCATTTGCGCCTGCCCCCATTTACTCCCTGGTTCTCTCCTTGTCCCTCTGCAGGGGCAAGGAGAGAACCAGTGGTCACCAACAGTGGTCACCACATCCCTGTGTGGGGGCCCAAATAAGAGTCTGATGGTTGAACATGCTGGTGGAGTCACTGGCAAAGACTCCATCTCCTTACCTACAAGCTTCAAAGATACATAAAATCAGATGGTGGAGAACATCGGTGTCACCATCCAGCATTTTCTGAAAGACTCTGGAATATGTGATATGAAGCATCCAAAATTCACAAGGCCAAGACATCCAGTTGCCACTGCAGCCAATGTCTCTGGCCCCATGTGTGTGGGAAGAAGGCAGAGCCATACCTGCCCCCTGTGAGCTCCAGCACCAGCAGCAGCATGTGGGGAGGAGTGAGCTCAGCCCTCATCTCGCCCCAGCTCCCACCGACAGTTCAGTTTGGGTGGCACGGCGGTGTGGGTGCATGAGGATAACAGAGATTTGGTATTACCCTTATGTCTTAAGGGAACAAGTTCAAACAGAGGTCCCTATTGTATTTGAGGAACCGTAAAGACAGAGAGAAAAATAAATCTGTTCCCTGCTAGTGCAGAGAGGGCCTTTGTTTGTCTGGTTTTCAGAGTGAGAAGGTTTAGAGAATTGCTGCAGCACATGACCAGAAGCTGTGAAGCTGCAGACAAAAGCCATTTGAAACAGAGATCAGACTTCGCCATCGTGCTGGCTTTTCAGAAGATTTCTGCTTTGTCCGAGTTAAACCTGCTGCTGTTTTGGGGGTTATTTTCCTCACTCCACTGCAGCCCCTGCTGTAAGGGCTGTACATGTCCCACAGCGCCCACGCACGCTCCCACTGGCACCAGCACAGCATCAAAATGTCTGCTGCGGCAGGCTGGAGGGGCTGCCCATGTTCCGAGCCCAAGTCACAAGGGTTGCACCAACAGCCACACTGGCTCCAGCCACGGACAAGTTTAGAGGACAAAGCCTCGGCTTATCGCTCGGCTTGCTGAGCGGGCTCGTTTCGCAAGCTCGTCGCACGTCAGCCGGGAGCGCCCGTCGGCACCCGGCAGGAACACAGAGGGAAGCGCTTGAGCAGAGCTGACAGCGAGACAAAGCTCATTGGGGCTCTCTGGGTAATCACTGGCTCCACCACAGATGACAACTGCAACGAGCCAGACGCTGAGATGCTCTGTCATCCCTGGGAGCCGCACAGCCGGCTGCCAGGCATCGCGGGCGAGGCATAAATGCCTCGCTGAGTTCCTCCAGCCAGGGGTATCTCCACTCCCTGGAAGCGGGGCTTGTTGGGGACCGTGTCTAGGAAGGACTCAGGGATTTGAAGTGCCCTTGCAGGGACTGAGGGCACACTCTACTCGCGCTTCCCTGGTCTGCACCCTGAGGCACAGGAGCACGAAGCCCTGACTTTTCCCCCATTGTCACAAAAAGGGCACTAATCTTCTTAACAGCCCCAAATATAGTCAAAGCAGGAGCCATTTCTGTTCACAAGGAGGGAGGGGGGGGGGGGCAGGGAAAGGAAGTTGCTGAATTAGGTTTAAGACCTCTGAAAAGTTAAAGCTTCATAAAACGGTTTCCATCATCATGTGTCCTGAACCAGAGAACATTTGGCCCCTGTAAAACACAAAGACCGTGACAGGTTAGTCTGTGAGCATCCTGTATTCAGACACAAGCAGCTGCCAGCAGGAGAGGAGAGCCAGCTGCCGTGCTGCTGTGGCGTGGCATGGCATGGCATGGTATGGCATGGCAGCCAGCCTGGCTGCGTCCCTTTGCTTCCCCAGTGCGGAACACAGAGAGAAAAAGACCCTCTAACCACTGCGTGCAGAACAAATGCAAACCACAGATGTGCAGAGGAGTGTGTTAATCTGCCAGGGTTCCTCAGCTTTCCACTTACTCCCAGGATCCGATACTCTCAGCCCTGCACAGGGCAGGGAGGTGGGCTGGATCTCCTCCCACGCTGGTCCCTGAGGAGAAAACAGAGCTGGAACAGATACCTCAGGGCAGAAGAAGAAACAGCTGGCACACCTGAAGGGAAGCCCCTCACCCAGCTCCCCAGCCCGACTGGCTCTCCTCATCCCGGGCGGGTGGATGCGGTGGCTCCGGGCCGGGCGCATCCCGTATCCCGGCGGGTGGATGCGTGTGGCTTCGGCCGGCGCGCCGTCGGCGAGGCGCTGCGTTCGCCCGCGTGGGCCGCCGGGCTGGAAGCGGGAGGGGAGCGGGAGGCGGCCGCGGGAGTCGGATCGGGCTGCGATTACCGCGGCGGGGCGGTAATCAGGGGTCACCCGCATCGGGGTGGGGGTAGTGGTGATGAGGATGAAAATGATGAGGACTGGGATGGGGTGAGGATGCAGATGATGGGGATGTGGATGGAGATAAGGTTGAGAATGCAGATAGGACATAGATGGATATCCCCAGGAATGGGCACCGCATGGAGGGAAATGCGGCTAATCCGGGGGGCAGGCGCCCCACTACGATGCCCCCCCCTACTCACCCAGCCACGGCGCCACATGTCCCTGACCCCAGACGGAATAGACTCCACAGCTCCCCTGTTCTTTGCTTTCGGAGGCTGCCCGGGAAACCGCCCGAAATGCGTCTTCCTTCGGGCAGGCAGGGATATCCCACCCTCCTGCCCGCAGCCCCTTTCCCGGCTCGTGCCAACACCCCCCTCCCACCCCCAGTACCGCATTGCGGAGCTGCCCGGGCGGGGGAAATGGGGGAACACCTCAGCCCCTCCCGGCGCTCGGTGTGATTTGAGGGCAATAATAGGAGCTCCACGGGGATCTCAGCTGTGCCTGTGCTACGGGAACGCTGGCGGTGGGTCCCCCCATCCTCATCCTCGCTGTGCAGCGGCAGCGGGCGGACAATTAGTTGTTGTAGCTTTTAAATCGCTGTAAATCGAGGCGTTTTCGATCACAGGTGTGGACTGCGGGGCTAATCCCCCGCTGCGGGAAAAACAGCCCCCGGGGGGGATCAACCCCATGCTCCGCACCCCTGGGCAGGGTTCGGTGAGTTTGGTTCAAGCCAGGGATACCTCCAGCCCTTTATTTCGTTTATTTCTCCCCCTTTGTTTGCGACGGGGTTTTCTTCCCCTTATTCAGAGAAAAACCTCGGGGTACATCTGCAGATTCCATCCATCCCTGGAGTCTGACCACTACAGGGTAAAGCAAAGCTGGGCTGAGGGGTGAAAGCAGCCCCCCCCCCCCCCCAGCTGTAAGTCGACCCTTTCCCGAAATATAAGTGTCCTACCTCTTGCAAACAGCTTAATCCCACTGTCGATAACGACCCGGCGCTGCCCCGACTTTACCCCGAGAATGTGTAGTGCTCCCGATGGGGGAAGGATGAACGTCCCTCTGTCCCTGCCCCGCTCCTCCAAGCCCCCTACGAAACAGGCCAGCCTCATCATCTATGTTTTCTCTTTATTTTTCGATATATTTATGTACCACATTATATGTTAAAGATAGATTTTTTTTTCTGATATACATTTTTCATCTTATTTACCACAATGACACCACACATATATTGGAAACAGCTCCACGGATCTGGTAGATTGCACAGAATGAATTGTGTCATAGTTTTGTTCTGTATCCTGAAACGACGTCAAATCCAACAATATGTATTTTTTTTTTAGCTTTTCATAATTTAGAAATAACGATTGTTAAAATAAAACAAAACAAAAGTCACTGAGAAGTGGACTCCAGGGCTGCGATTTCAACCAGAGGCAACATATTATAGTCGATGGGAAGCTCCATTCCTCGGTAGGGGTTTGGATGGAAGAATTAAGCAGTCCTGACACCTATGTGACAACGGTGTAAACATTGCAGGTAATTGGCATTGCTGGTCGTCAGCTGCTGCTTGGGCTTGTTGGGCTGGTCATACAATCTGGGTCTCATCTACATCCATCTCACCAAGTGTAAAATGAAGGTCCCTGCTCCCAGCACCCACGATGGGTTTGCTTCCGTTTGTGAGCGCAGTGACCCAATCCCATGGGATTGGCACCTGTGTTTCAGCTCCTGAAACACTGAATTGCATATCTGTAAGGAGTATTGAAAACTGCAACTGTTTCCCAACTGGCCATTTGTGGGGAGCCAAGCTTCAGGCAACGAGTGAGGAGATAGGAGTGGGGCACCAGATAATTTCCTTCTAAAAAATCTAAATAACAAAAAAATATATTTAAATCCAAGCTTATTTAAAAAGACATCAGGGTGAGCACTTTCGTCTTATTTCCTTTAATTTGCAGATTCTATGATATAGAATTTTTTGGATGCACATAACGAAAATAATGACTCTTTCCATTAAAGGGATGCAGAATTATTTGGCTATGCAGATGTTCGATGCGATTCTCTTACTGCACCAACTCTGGCCCCTCCTCAGTCTTCAGCATTGGTTCTGAAGGCCTCTATGAGGCCTTCTAAAGAGTGGATGAACCCAGAGACACTGCAGATACCACCTATAACAAAAATGGCAACATCAAAGAAGACATGGTGCCACAAGAGCTTCCTCCACAAGAGTTTGAGATGGAAAAGACTGGGGAGCAGGAAACAGAGCCCTGCACCTGTCAGGCTTCCAGTAAGACCCATCAGGAGGGCAAAATGGGGGACATAGATAGCCATGAGCAGGGTGAAAACTACCAGGGCACACCTGAGGGTGAGTCCCCAGGATTTGAGCCGCCCATCGCCCCCATAGCAGTTGGGGAAGAAAGCCCTGTTTCCATCTTGGAAAAGGGACCGCTCCAGGACTTCCACAGCTGCGAAGAATGGCAAGGGATACGAGAGCAAGGCTTTGGCCACCAAGAAAATGTTGACTACTGCCCTAATGGTAGATGGCAAGTTGTCTGTAATGACCTCCTTGGTCTCATCAGCCCACGTCAGGTAGGCGACCAAGGCAAAGAGTCCCTTAAGGATGCAAGCTGCTATGTGAGTCCAGTTCATCATGCAATGAAACTCCTTGGGGTTCTGCATGTTCCCCTCCAAGGAAGGCAGAAAGATCTGAGAGGTGTAGCTGAAGACAATGATGCCAATAGAGATGGGAAATTTCTTTACATCAATGTAAAACTTGACTTTGTCCCAGGCCCAGTCGCGTGCCCTGGAGAGGCAGTAGGCAATCACCAAGATGTTGATGACAAAGTGGGCTAATGTGCAGAGCAAGCTGAACTTGGAGACTGCCTTGAGGTTCTTCAAGAATGCACAAGGCAGGAGCACTGCCGTGGCAATGATGGACCATGATTTCTGGGAGACGGGCAGGTTGGGGAAGCTGTTGTACATCAGATTCCCACTGACCACCACATAGAGGATGCAGGTCATGACCAGTTCAATGATCTGAGCCACGTTCACAATTCTGCCCCCAAGGGTGGGGAAGCGAGGCGCGCAGCATGCGTTTGCGATGTCCACGTAGGAGTCTCTCACCCTGACTATCTCCCCATCCTCATTCTCTTCGTAAAGACAGGCAATAAGGATTTTCCCAGTGTAGCAGCAAACCACTGCGGCAAAAATTATTAAAAAGAGTCCTAGGTATCCACCATGAAGGATGGCATAGGGCAGGCCCAAAACAAACATCCCCTAGAAAGAGACAAAATGGAAACTGTGTTGCTCAGTGGTGGAGGGGACCAGGCCCACCACGCCTGCAGCCGAGTACATGCAGCTGCATCATCACAGTCACATGTGCTCTCACTGCCTCACTGGCACCACCATCACACCCACGCAGTTGATCACACAAACACGCCACGCAGCCACAGCCACACACAGTGATGCACCACCCTCCCTTGCTGACGTGCTACCCCCACAGTCACACCTGCACATCTGCATGATTTCACATCGCAGCACCAAGAATAGTGAGTGTAGTTTCAGCACCCGGGCTTTGCCCCCAGTCTCTACCTTCTCTGTCGCCAGCCCCTCTCAGTGCACCAAGACCCTCATAGCCGGGGACCTCTGGAGGCACCAGACCAGGCCCACCCTGGTGCAATCCTGCCACCAGCCTGGTCACCCCTCGGGCTCCCTATCCCCCCTCTCCCCCTAGCCCATGTGCTGGGGTAACCTGATGGGGACACCAGCCAGCCCCAGCCCTGTGGGAGCCACAGTGGGATGGGGATGGGGCTCGGGCCCCTCTCTGGCACTGTGCCCTCCTCTGGGATGGGGGGGCCAAAGGAGAGAACCCTGCTGGGGGCTTTTAGTTTCCTTTTATTTTTTAATATTTCTTTGTTTTTCTTTCCTTTCCCCCACCATTTTTATCTCTATCTTTCATCTATTTTTTTCCCCCTTCTATGCCCTTTTCCGCCTTCTTTCCCTTTCTCCTAAAGCAGGTTTGCAATCAGCCCGCAGCAGCCGGCCGGGTGCGGATCGCGGAGCGGGATTGGGATCAGGATAAGGGAGCACTGCCCGGTGCCCAGAGGCGGTGGCGGCGCAGCGGTGGCCGTACCTGGATGGCGTTGGTGACGTTCCATCCCGCCTCCCATGCGGTGATCTTGGGCTTGCCCTGCCCAGAGAGCTCGGAGCAGGCCTCCTTGGAGGCGGAGGGCGGCAGGGGCCCGGTGCCGTCCCGCTGGTAGTGGATGTCCCCCTCCAGGGGCGTCTCTGC